GGAAATAAGTTGCATTTGACAAGTATTAAACAAAAATAATAAACAAGAAAAAGACACTGATGCTGAATAGATTGCCAAAGCAGAAACTCCTGAAAATATTTATTCTGGGGACAGGTGGGAGTGGGCCCTTAGAAATACAATCTTTTCATTTTAATATGAGGAAATAGGGAGCCAGAGGTAATAGAAAATGTTTAAATGATTGGCATGGTGAACCCATCGCTAGAACTAAGCAAAGATGTAAAGATAATAAGGATTAAATCTCATTGTCTTGTGACATATAGCTTATGGACTCAGGGGGAATAGTTGGACTTTTCTCATCACTCTGCAGTGTAATATTTACTGAACATTATAAATCACATATGGAGCTCCAAGAAAGAGACTTAGCAGTTGGGAAAGAATCAGCAGTATAAGGGACAGCTCTGGATTATAGTATCGTGTCTAACAAGTTGGATGCTTTAGGGAGAACTTTCAGACTAACCCTTGCCATTTCCCCTACCCCCACACACCTTTTTATTCACTTCAATAACGCCATTTTAAATATCTTCTACTATCTTTGTATTACTTTTCATCAACTCATCCCTCTACTTATTTTCTTTAAAAAATGATGACACAACTGTGACTATAAACCAGAGACATTCTACAGGAATGGAGAGAGGAATAGGATCAAAAGTGGGGCTGGGAAGAACACACAGGACTATGGTGATGGCACACGGGTGAATCGGTTGGTGGGAAGTCCATGGGGATTACAACCAAGATGAAAAAATGTACAAAATGAAGCATGCTGCTGTTAATATATATATATAAAATAAAAAATAAATAATTAAAAAGAAAAGATGACCTAAGGCATCCTATTCTTACCTAAGACACATTCTACAATTTAATAGATACCTTGTTAGGAAAATGCTAAAATGTAGCTATGCTGAATCATTAGGTGCTATTAAAACAATTGCAGCCAGTTTTACTCATTCATGTCTTCTGTCTGGTACTCTGCTTAATTGGTAGATTAATGCACTTTCTATTTCACTACATTTAAACTTGAAACAAATTCCCTCAAGTTTCATGTTCTCTCAGTATTCCCCATTCTCACCCCTTCCCTACTTCACTCCTTTTACAAATGATAAAATTTATTTCTTTGGCTGATTCTCTGTGTCTGCCTCTTATTTGATCATTACACACCAACTATTCATGTTTCTTCACCATCTTCAGATCCTTAATTTCAGTGACTTCCTACCTTCTTTCTCCACTTTATATCTTAGCAGGTAATTTTTTTTTTCTCTTTCAAACACAACCACATTAACTTATTTTACTTTAAATACAGAACCATAAATGTCTAAGCAGCCCACCAAGACAAACCTGTACATTCAGAATATGTTTACTTTCATCTATAACAAAAGATGTTTAACAACTTTTTCTCTTCCAAATTTTTATGGATTTCACCTGTTGGTCTTTATTTTTAACATGGTTCTTATGTTATCAATGAGAGGGTTGCAAATTACTACCCAAGCTAGTAATTGACCCAAAATATTTCAAATAATGTTCAAAAAAGCTTTCACTTTTGTTATATCCAAGAAGTGTTCTTAAGAATATCAAAGGCATTTACTCCATTATATTTTGCATTCCATTCTTCTCATCTGAATATCTTTTCTATTGCAGTTACCTGGTGCCATTGTCATGAGCATATCAACATGGTTCTTAATCTCCTTTCTTAACCTCCTTGAGCTTCCTTTGATCCCCTGTGCAGTAAATGTTAATAACTTAGTCACCTCTCATCATGCCAGACTAAACAGACTTCTAATTGCCTCCTCCATGTCACCCATCAACTCCATATTGCCAAATTGCATGTTAACTTCTTTAGCCGTATTCTGTTGGACTCATGTTTTCAACAAGTTGGCTTGTCCCATTCTTAAAACTCTTCTCATCCATGTTTTCACATTTTCCTTGTTTTTCTCTGTTTCTCTGGCCCCTCTCCCAATGTCAAATATATATTTCTGCTTCTCTCCTTCCTTTACATATGAATTTGTCAAAGTATGTATTCAGCATCTCCATTTGCTTGGCTGATAGTCATTACAAAGTGACAGTTCCAAAACAAACCTACGGATTTGCAGTCTCCAGTTCTCCACACTTTAGTCAGTCACCCATTCAGTGTTGAATTATAAAATCAATTGACATAAAATTGGCAAGAAATAGGACTCATACTAGGAATTTTAAGGATGAAATACATAATACTTTCAACTTCATTATGTATTGGCCTGCATTTTTTTCTTTATTATTTTAAATCAAGGAAGAATAAAGAGTTGAGAAATAGAATAAATAATTGTGTGACTTTATCTAAATTCCCTCACGAAGAGACATTTTTAGGGTCACTAAATTCTTTATTCACCTCTACTACATCAAATTCTGTTTCCCAAAGTCCTGGATTTCCTATGTAGCTATAAGATCTGTTGGCATATTTCTACTGCTTAAAAAAATTCAGTTTTGTAGTGGTGATATTTGTCTTTTCAAGAGCAAACTAAATGGGATGGGAGAGAAGAATTAACTACTAATTAAGTTAAAAATTCCTCTCAAGTCAGTATTTCAGTACCCTAAGGAGTCCTTTTAGGCAGAGATAAATATGGATGGGTTTTCAATCTTATTACTATTTTGACTTTGTAATGTGAGCAGAAGTTTAGGAGATAAGTACATTTTATAAATGTCTGAAACAAAACCTCTTGCAATCTAAGTGTTATCATGAACAAGGGGGTCATCACTACTAATGAGTTATGAAGAGCTGACTTTCTGTAAAATTTCCTTGCTCTACTCTTGAGCACATTTGGTAGAAGTGTATTTTTAAGTTTATTTCCCTTATGTGCATACTTGGATGCATTCTTTCTGGGGTCCTCACCAGACTTCAAAATTTATTAATTCACATACAAAATTTTCAAGGCAAAAACCGACATTTTGTTAAAAATAAACTGTTGTAAAATTAAAGAAATAATAATAAATAAATAATTAATTAATTTGAAAAAAAAAACTGACATTTTGATTTCCTTCAAAATCTGTAGTTGTGGTAAATAGTCTAGAGCATGGCAATGTTTATTGGGTAATTTCTGGTAGTGTTATAAATGAATTGTATATCTTTCATACTTCAAGTACATTTTAGGATGGCTCTTGTTTAACCTATTTCTTTGGGAAAATATTTTATATTTATGTAATTTCTTCACAAAGGTTATCAAAACACTTTCTAGTCTAAATGTTGAACATTAACAGTAAACTCAGTTATTGCCACTGTTTTGTGACTAGAAGATACAAAATTTTAGATTGTGAAATGATTAATTAAAGAGTAAATGATGATTGCTTGCTTCCACTAAGAAAATAAAAGGATTGATTTAAAAAAAAAAGATTGTTTTTTAACGAAGATGTTTAAACATTATTTAACATCTCTATCAACATTTCAGTTAACTTCTTGTAGGATGTTACAGATCTGTCCATATCCTCTTTTAGTGTCATATGTTTTTAATGGGGTTACCTCAGGATCATTTATATGCAAATTAAGTCACTACCAGCAGTCTTAGAACTACATTATCAGAGGGAGAGAACAAGAGTAGGAGCTAAAATTTGAAATATGTCTGTACTACTGAGTATATGTAAGCATAATGTGAAAAATATCAGTTCCTTTCAGTTTTTCAGTCTTTCCTTCACTTACAAATTTTGCTCAGTCCTAAACTAGCTGTTTTCAAATCCAGAACAGTTCTTATTTTCAATACCAATTAATTGGCATTATCCTTTGATTTATTCAAATATGTCAAGTTTATTTTTGAACATCTGTTATGAATTTAGTAGTAGGCTGATGACAGCAGCAAGGGAAGAGCTCAAAGGCAGAAGTATGCTGGGGCCGGCGGGGCCCTGCGGGGCAGGCGGTGTGGCTTCTATATATACCTACAAAGGAACGATAGTGGGTCTCAGACAGTTTGCATGGGTTGTCTATGCTCTCAGGAGTGCTGCAGATACATGGAACCTTGCCCTGTTCATTTCCATCTTCTTCCAAAGTATCCCTTAGTAAAAAATGGATCGAAGTGAACCAAGCAGCACAAATGTAGAAAAAGTGATTGTGATGGAAATAACAGAGTATCGAAATTTCACATTTTTGACATTAATCCAAAGGTGTCTTTTATTTTTCAGTTTTTAAACTGAGAAAGTGAGTGGTTGTAATGCTTCTGGGTTCAGGACAATTGGCATTCATATTCTGAGGCGGATGCCCTCCACCCCACCAAATGCTATACAAGATAGCACGTACCAAGATTGGCAGATAGTTTTTCCAAGCAATAGTGTAACGTAATAAGTCACTCCCCATTGGTCTTGTGTTTATCTGTTTGGTCCAGCTATTTTTAAATGTGTTTTTATGTGCTCATAATCTTCAAAGGGGGTAGGTAATAAAGTAATATTGAGAACAGAAATTTCTGCTGTCAAAACCTTTATTTATTCATGGGTACAAGAAGTAGGGTGCAGGCCAGAGTTGTGGTGGGTAAGAGGATTCATCAAAGACAAAGTGGGGAGCAGAACAGATGGATCCATTGAAATACACTGCTGAGGATCTGCTGTGCTTCAGGAACTAGCTTCCTGGCCTGGTGATCAAACTCCTGCTTCACTGGTTGCAGTCTGCTTCATAGTGATGAGTCTTGACCCTTTGCACCACCAGGGAGCTTAATACATATATTATGTTTTGAAAAAAACCAAGAATTCCCAGAGTTAACTGTTCTTTAGAACAAGTTCTGAGAGATGCTTTAGTCACCACTGGTGAATACAATAACTTTCTGCTTCCCTTTATCAATAATATTACTAGTGGTATTTTTATATAACACAGACAACACAGACATCAAAATGCTTAACAGCCTTTACATGTTTTTTTTTTATAAATGTATCTGTGGAATACTGATAAATTTCCAATAAAATTTGTCATCCTTCCAACAAAATGCACCCATTGTCAACATAAATTTTTTTTTTTTTTGGCTTGTTTTGGAAAGGAATTGAATTGGAAGTTGTCAATAGCTGTGAAATAAACAATGGTGGTTGTTCTCATCACTGTGAACATGTGATTGGTGGGCCCCGCTGTTTTTGTAACCCTGGACACCAGCTTGATTCAGATGAGAAGACATGCATAGGTAATGTATGGTAAATACCATTTTCCTTCAAAAGTTGCCCTGGATTCATTTGGTCCTTTCAAGTTCAAAATAATCTACATATTTACATAACAACCTTTATAACCTTAATTTTATTTCAGGAAAATATTTCAAAACCTAGCTAGCTGTTCAATGTAATTTGTAATTCATCAACAAGTGCTAACCATATCCATTTCTTTCTACTTCAAGGAAAAACACAATCATGTGTGTTAGTTGAGTTTCACACCTCTTCAGATTTATGTTACTACACCACTCCCATCATCGAGACACACATAGCTCTAGTCCATTGCCCTAGTCCCTAACCACACTCCCACCCTTTCTTGCCCAATAATAGCCTCAGTTATGCAGTCAAATATCAAGAGTTTCTTTTGGTTTAGTTTTCTTAGCACATTTATTTTTGTTGTTTCTCTATTTTCTATATATA